CCCCCCCCCGTGCTGCTGTCTGACGTGCCAGTGGGACATGTGGGGTGTATTGTGCGATGGCTGACCCACGCTCTGTACACCCTGTCATGGGACTAACTCAGCTGGCAAGGTACCTGCCATTTACAGGGGGCTGTAACATAGGTAATTTACATTGGTATGGGATGTCTCTGGGCTGCTGAGTCCTTTCCTCAGGGGCTAGAAGACTGCACTGCTGGTTTCCTGGGGCTGTAAAGCCAAAATCAGCAGTGCTGCTAAATGAGGATGAGAGAGGCTCTGTTGGGCTAGTGAGAAATGTGGCACCGTTCCGGGGAGCCCCTGCTGGTGTTGCAGGGAAGGTCTCTGGGGAGCGCTGCTTTTCTGCACAGCGGGCTCGTGCCATGCGGCCAGGCACCGTTTGCTTTCTGTGCCAGGCTGAACTTCTCAATCTTCATTCACAGAGCCCCTGAAATCATCCTGGGTTTGCCGTTCTGTGAAGCAATTGACATGTGGTCCCTGGGCTGCGTGATAGCGGAGCTGTTCCTGGGCTGGCCTCTTTACCCAGGCGCCTCAGAATACGACCAGGTAAGAGCATGCTGTGCCTGGGGGGCGGTGCCTGAGCAGTCTGAGGGAGCCACTTTTCTATACCCCCTGTGAAATGGAAGTGCGCTAATTCACGTTCTGCTCTGGCCTACGCAGGCCTCATGTGGGCTCCAGCTCTTGCCCTGCTCCTTTCCTGCTTTGATCCACTTTTCTTTTACCTGTGGTAACGGAGGCTGCTTCCCACTGGCACCCTGCCTACCTCTGGTTTTGGCAGAGAACGCAGGGTCCTGTATGTGGCTCACTTCCATTTAATATACGCATGCAGTGTGTGGGACAGCCTGCAGCTCCCTTCCTGGCAAAACTGAAGTGGAGTGTCTCTCCGGGGCGTGCGCTACGCTCAGTACAACGAGGACAGGTCAGCTGCATGAGCAGTTGTCCCGGGGAGAGAATTTGGAGTCCTGCCATGCAATTCCTGTCACCTTCCTTCCTACAGGAGCTCTGATCTCTTAACGTAGACCATGTCCCAAGTGCAGTGTGTGTAGACGTCTTACAGTGTACAAGTAGCGGTGTTATCTGGTTGTTAGCCTGCCCGTGAGAGAGGGCAGCAAATCTAAACAGAACAATACGAGTAGAACCCCGCCGACCACTCCACCTTCCCCGGAGGCTGGTGGTGGGTGTCCGGTGGTTCCCTGGGCTGGAGGAACTCTTACTCACCACCCCCAACTCCAGAGCTGGTGCCTTATTCTTATCTATATATAGAATCATGAGCTTTTGTGGGCAAAACCCACTTCTTCAGATGAGTGGGTTTTACCCATGAAAGCTCATGATATATATAGTATCATGAAAAATTTCCTAACTGTCGGGGTGGTTAAACACTGGAATAAATTGCCCAGGGAGGCTGTGGAATCCCCATGTCTGGAGATATTTAAGAGCAGGTTGCATAGACACTTGACAGGGATGGTCTAGACAGTGCTGGGTCCTGCCGTGATGGCAGGGGACTGGACTTGACCTCTCGAGGTCCCTTCCAGTTCTAGTGTTCTAGGATTTTATATATATTTTTGTTAGTTTCTAAGGTGTCACAAGATCACTTGTTTTTAAAGTTACAGGCTAATCCGACTATTCCTCTGAGACTTAGAACAATACAAGTGCAGCTTTTCCATCGCATGGTTTGTTTTGTGGTGTTGCCATTTCAGGGTCTGGTATATTTTTCTCTACACAAAACGTCTATTTGAAATTAGCTTTTAGCATTTCTTCAGCACCCTAAATTTCCAGAGGAAATGCAGTGGTACATTACTGAGCAGGCTGAGTTAGAAATAGCTAAGGTATGGCATAGTGGTTTCCTTCTACGGTAAGGCTTGTGTACTTCTGTGAATCTTATCTCAGTGTGTAGGTGGGTGGAGACAGAGGTCTGGTTTTCATGACTTCGTAGCGAGTTCTGTAACCCTTCAGAAGTGTGGGGCAGCCTGTGCTCTTACGTCATGTGGTTGAGTTTGACGTCTGCAGGGACGACGTTTGTTTTTACCTGAGCTGCAGTAGTAACTGCAGAGCAGTCAGGGTTTTGAAGAGACATCTCTGAAAATGAATACCAGGCTGGGCCTTGTCAAGCAGCCGTGGCCTTGCCTGAGATAATCTGCTCTACGGCAATGAGGCCATTGTAGCTATTGTGGACCCCAGCACCTAATGGATGCTGGCTGTTGGAATTATTGCATAGAAGGATGACACAGCTCTCCGTTGCACTGCTGAAAATGTTGCTGCTTAAGTATAAAAAGTATGAACACCGGTCAGATTGAATTAGGGGTGTAAACGCCGTGAATTGGTTAATCAGTTAAATGTGATGTCTAACCGGCTCACTGATTAAAGGGGGGAATGGGTGAAGGGGCGGGAGCGGCCCTCCGTCACAGGCAGGGGTTGCTTCAGCCCCCACCAGTTAACCGGAACCGGTAAGCATCCCCCACTGGTTAACCTTTCCCATCCCTAGCTTGAACCCAGATTGCTACAGAGGAAAAGCGAGGCCACAGATTCCTGTTGGCCCTCAAGCAGCACACATGTAGCAACCTGCCTCGTGCCCTGGAAAGTTCAGTTGCTCAGGCGGAGGGGCATTGGCAGAATTACGGGCAGTGATTTGGGCTACGCACTACGGTAGCAGTAACTACAGAGCCTAGCTGCCTTCAGCCAGTGTGTCCGGTCCTGCTCTGTCCCAGATGGGCTGGGTTTACCGAGCTGTATTTTTATTGAAAAGATACTTTCAAAAAACTGACTTTTTTCTTGTTGTAATGAATTGTCTCAGTTCTCGCTCCGAAACTCGAGGAGCAGATAGCGTTAGCCGTATAGACCACAAAGCCGGGGGAAGATTTGAGAAAGGGTGCTGATATTTAAAAGTATTCCTCTGCTTTATAATGGCGTGTCTTTTCTTTTCCTTTTAAGGACAACTTTGTACTTTTACTGTTGCGTGTTGCTGTATTTCGAATACCGTAGTCCGCGTTCTTCAGACAGGTTTCGTACACGTTTCTGGGGGGAGGTAATTTATTTGGCTGCTGTTTTTACTCCAGGTGTTGATCCACTAAAAGCTACAGGAGATCTACATACTTTGAGTCCAAACTTGAACCCTGGAAGTCAGTGGGTGCTTTGACACTGGACCTGTTGCAAGCAGCGTGTTCAAGGGCGGATATGTCCAGACCCACCTGTATCATGACAATACCTAGATTTTTTTTCTGTGAATTGTATATTTAAACAATACAGATATTTGGTAACTTTTTGTAAACTCTTCCCTCACCTTTAAAAATGTGTAGTGATTATGTTGGCGAGTGCTGCATTTACCTTAGACCTTCCCTTTTTATATTTAGCTTATTCTCAGTCTGTTAAAACAGCTTTGGGTCAAGAACATTTCTATAAAAAGGCAGAGAGGCCCATTAGAGTTTACCAGTACCCCAAATCTCTGCAGAAAATCAGATTGAAACAGTTAAATGTGCTTGTACATCCTTGAGAATTGCATCTTTACAGTAGTTTTGTATCATGGCATTTCAGTTATTCAGACAGCCTACATATAAAAAATTCAACTTTAAAATTTGTGTTTAGTCTTTCTCCTGTTCATTATTAACAAAGTTGGTAGAACCTCAGTATTTTGCTGTTCTGGACTTACCTATCCATCCAGTTTATTGGCATCTTTGCTCACTTTTTTTCTTTACAGATTCGGTATATTTCACAAACCCAAGGCCTTCCAGCAGAGTATCTTCTGAGTGCAGGAACAAAAACAAGCAGGTTTTTTAACCGAGATCCAAACTTGGGATACCCACTATGGAGGCTAAAGGTTTGTGTGTCTCTGTGATTTCAAAATCTGTCTATTATGGGCCTGATTCAAATTATCCAAATCTCATTGCTGCTCAATTTGAATATGTTGTGAAAGTATCCTGGATAAAGATTAGCTTGTAAATATCATTCAGTTGTAGTTGATTTGAACATTTCCTTTTAGAAACAGCACAAATCCCTAGCACATATTTCCCATACTTCAGCTTTGGAACAATGGGAGGGTGAAACGGAGTGCTTTTCCTGGTCGCCTGTTAGTCGGGATCTTGAAGGCTTTTAACAAAAACAAACCCCTGGTGAGCTCTTTGGAGAAAGGCGTTCTGTGAGAAAGAGGCAGAGCAGACATGCACGTTGAGAGAGTTTGGAAAAATCTCACTCTAGCGCTAGGGCCCTCCAAGGAGTTCCCCAAGAGAGGTGAAGGAGAATACCTGAGATTATTGATAGTGCTACATAAACAAGCAAAACCAAAAAGGGCAAAAACCCCTCACCCTGGGTCGGCAAATAAACTCCCAGGCCTCCGTTAGCTCACGGAAGCCAAACTGGTGAGGGGATCATTTCAGCCCCCTTAGAGTTCACTTCGAAATGTCTGTTTGGCTTTCGCCCAAGTCCCAAAGATTCCTGCTTCCATGCTCTCAAATGCCCTCCTGCGAGCCCGCACGTCACGTTTGCAGTGAGTTGTTCCCACGTTGTCATGGAGCAGGGATCTGGAGGCTCTTTACTTCTGCCCTACTTGCTAGTGGCTTATTGGGATTTGCCCTTGACACAGGCAGAAGGGTTACATGGCCCAACCTTTTCCTCACTGGTGTTTCTGTGTTTTCATTCCAACCCTGTATTAGCACCAGGCTCCAGCTGATCCAAACCAATGTTTTATTTTACAGACTCCAGAAGAACATGAGTTGGAGACAGGCATAAAATCCAAAGAAGCTCGGAAATACATATTCAACTGTTTGGATGACATGGCGCAGGTGAGCAGGGGAGATGGTTGGAAAATGAATAATGAGGGGAGGTGGTGCTAGATCATTGGGAGGTCCCCACTCCCCCATGCACTAAAAAAGCAAATGAGGACTCCCTCCACTCCTGGGGGCTCTGTGCCAGTGTTAGGTCTGCTCATGCCCAGCGCCGGCTCTGATCATGACGCCACATGAAACAGACTCGTCCAGTGCACAGAGGGTTATAAGGAAGAAACAGCTGTGGCTCAGATGTCCTGACTCGGCTCTTTCCTTTTGCCCCCCCACTGTGAAGGCTGGTGCCGCTCTGCCAGTAGGAGCAATGGGGAGAGTGCAGTGCAGACAGAGCATCATTGGGGCTTTCACCTGTGTGAGCAGGCCCAGGAGTCGTGGTGGTTAAAATGCTGATGCCTTGTCTACACAGATGCAACAACCCTGTAGGCAGTGGTAGCAGAGCCTTCAGGAGACACACATGGGTGCAGTAGAGCAAAACTTTCTGCCAAACAAGTCCTCGAGTGCACCTTCAAAGCCGCCTGAATCTTAGTTATGGAAATGGCTAGAGGCCACCATTCATGTCCTTACAGGACCACACATCTGCAAGGCATTGGAGAATCCAGCCCTGTTCATTGCACCTCAGTGCTCCAACTAAATCTTGGAAAAGAATTTCGTGCCTGCGTTTGGTTCAGGTTTCTGTTAGCGAATGCAGGCTCGGGAAGGAGAGACTCTGCGTACATTTACATTTTTGGAGACCCTCAGGTGAAGGAGTTCAAGGACCAGCCTGACTTCTTGGCGCTCCTGTGAGCTAAGGGATGACTGGTTTGTGCAGCAGCAATGGATTTCACATGGTCACTGATTTGGTTTTGTTTCTGTTTCCCCAGGTGAATATGTCCAATGACTTAGAAGGGACAGACATGTTGGCAGAGAAGGCTGACCGAAGGGAGTACATTGATTTGTTAAAGAAAATGTTGACGATTGATGCAGATAAGAGAATTACTCCGCTGAAGACTTTAAACCATTCATTTGTTACAATGACCCACCTGCTGGATTTCCCACACAGCAACCAGTGAGTTGATGGCCCTGTGGTTTTTGCATTGCTTGAGATGGATTTCTCTGCGCGACTCTATAGCCCACTTTTATTTACAGTGTGCTGGCGTGTCAGTCTGACCAGCCAGTTCAAAAGGAATGTTACCAGGGGTGGCTTCTCTTGGGATTCCAGTTTAGCTAGCTAGTTCTGAATTTCTCTCAGTCCATGAAACTCAACAGGAAGCTTATCTTTTGGGCTCACATAAATATTTTTCTTCGATAGTTAGGAGCTGTATTCTTTAGTTTTGCCAAATCTCTGACATTTTGTTGCTGTAAAGCTAAAGGCATATATATGCCCATGTGAAACAGTATTCTGAGAGCTATGTAAATCTCTTTCTTCTCTTTAATCCACTGTTTATGTACTGGCATTGTGTGTCTAATATTTCCATCATTCCTTTCAGTGTGAAGTCCTGTTTTCAGAATATGGAGATCTGCAAGCGAAGAGTTAATATGTATGATACGATTAATCAAATCAAGAGCCCATTCACAACACATGTAGCTCCTAATACAAGCACAAATCTAACAATGAGCTTCAACAACCAGCTCAATACAGTGCACAATCAGGTATGTGAGTCTTGAGGTTTTGGAAATGTTATTGATACTATAGGCCACATCCTGCTCTAAGTCACTCCAGTGAAGTCGGTTAGTTTGCATTTACACATAATGTAGCAGAGCAGAACTTGCCCCTAAATTAATAAACTGTGTCACTGCTATATGAGGACAAGTTCTGTGTTTTAGTAATGAGTTAAGTGGTGGCGGTACATAAGCATTTAGACACATTCTACACAAATGGTATTTTCAGTGATGTGTTAAAAATCCCTGGTAACATCTTGATTCAGAATGCTTCCCCCTCCCACTCAGGAAGCTGTGGAAAGGAGAGATAGGGCCCATCTAATAGGCTGTAAACCCCCGCTGGGGGCTAGTTCAGACTAGTTCAGGGACAACTGACGTCACTTCCCCACCTAGTGGAGTGAGTTATTTTTGAAGACATGCTCAGCGGAGGGCGACCAGAATGCTTCGGGGGCTGGAGCACATGACCTCTGAGGAGCGGCTGAGGGCACAGCACAAACATGCCCACTTGTAATGTTTTGTTTTCTAGGCCAGCGTCTTGGCTTCCAACTCTACAGCTGCTGCTGCTACCCTTTCTCTGGCAAACTCGGACGTCTCACTGCTGAACTATCAGTCTGCTCTGTACCCATCCTCTGCAGCGCCCGTGGCAGGCGTGGCACAGCAGAGTGTTTCCTTGCAGCCCGGAACCACGCAGATCTGCACGCAGACCGATCCATTCCAGCAAACGTTCATCGTTTGTCCCCCTGCTTTTCAGAGTAAGTAGAAAACCCTGTGGCATCGTCCCGGCGTTTCAGCCAATGACAATAAACCCTTGTGATCTGGGCCAAGTAGAGAAATTCCAGGAGATCACTCTGTGCTCTCTCATGAGTCTGAAATCAGGTCAGGTATGCGTGGACGTGTGGTTCTCCTCTCCAGGACACGCTCGGACAGGTGAGGATCACACACCTGCCTACTAGGCAATCTTCCCTCGCTTTATTGCTCAGCCAGTTTCTTCCCCAGATGCAACCCAGCAGCATTCCTCAGGGCTGTGGGAGGAGCTTGATTCATTTGAGACTCAAGAGTCTCTGAAATGTTTCTCATTCTCTGAGTAACACCTCAGTGCTCAGAATGTTCTGTTTGACCTTCGCATGGTCACGCTCACACATGTGCACAATCTACTTCCCAATAAGAGCCGGCATGAGAAACTTCTGGTGAAAAACAGATTTTTCTAGGGACTTAAGAGTAGGAAACTCAGGCCTAGCATAGAAATCCCCCTTCAATCTGGTTCGTGCATCTGTTATTGTGGGAGAGGCTATACCTGTTCCTTTTCATAGTGGAGCAGAAATGTATTTCTAGGCTTTGGTTTTTGGCACCAAGAGCTTTTGGAGAGACGCTCAAGGGTTAAAAAAGCTTGGTATGTGCACGGGTGCCATTGCAGTTAAAATTTTCATCCCTGATTCCCTTACATTTCTAGAGTGACCATGCACTCTTGGAATCTCAGTTCACAAACGTTAATACAGTTTGGGGATGACAAGTCAAAGAAAGCCAACTGAAAAGAGATTAAGCGACAGTCAGTGTACAGTATCATGAACTTCTCTATTTGTATCTGGCTTGTGCTGATAGGTTATAAAGGAAGCAAAAAATCTTAATGGAGCGAGTGCGGGGTACAGCGGCTATGGTATGTGGCTTTTACAAGGTTTTAGGTAGCACGTTTCAGTGTTTGACTCTGTTCCCCGCCAGATGTGATTAGAGGGGAGTGCATTTGCCTGGCTGGCATGCAGATGACAAGTTTGCAGGCTTGAATCGACCTAAGCATTAGAGAATTCTCCAGCACTACCCTGAGACTTTCAGGGGCTTGCAGAGACCCTAATTGTTCAGTAGCCAGGGATTTTTTGGTGGGTGTGTCTGATAACTCCAGCTACACGACCGGCGAGTCTGAAAGGTCCATTTAGTGTCAAATGCTCCAAAGGCTAGGAAGGCCACAGACAGTGAGGGCAAGCTGATGTCTTCCGAGGGAGAACGTAGCTGAAGCATTTCTCTTAAGTACTACATGTAAAGTGAAGCCTGGGCTAGACTGTAAAGGAGGAGGAGCACTAGCAGGGCTCCATTCTTGCCAGAGCAGACAGGGACCCAAACTCAGTGTGGACAAGGTATTTTTAGAGCCATAAGGATGTAAGTTACTGTAAAAAGGAAAGAGAAGGGTTGTGAAGAGAAGAGCATCGTGACCCAGTGGCATCCGATCAGTTCCCTGTGTGCTCACATAAGAATTTCTCTTCCCTTGGAGGGTACAGTACCTTGCAGACATTAATAGAGGCATTGTTTGTCGAAGGCCTTGTCTATACTTACCTGGAAGATGGAATGAAGATGCACAGCTCCAGCTATGTTAATTGTGTAGCTAGAATCAGCAGGCCTGGATTTGACCTTTAGCGCCATCTCCACACCATGAGGTTGACGGGCGCAAATGCTCCTGTTGACTTCCCTTACTCCTCGCGACCCCATGGAGTACTGGCATCGACAGGGTTGCCTCAGTGTTCAGTTTAGCAGGTCTTTGGTAGACCTGCTAAATTGAACTCCAGAAGATTGATTTCTGGAGCGTTGATTTTCCTGGCAGTATAGACATGGCTTTAGCTGTGTCTTTAATAGTTTAGAAAGTGGGTTTTTTTGTAACCTTTCCTGCCAGTTGGGAGTGACTTACAATCTTCTAATGGGTGGCTGGAGGTGGTGTGTTCCCAAGCACAGTATTTAAAAAGCTCAGAACTCCAGAAACAATTCTTGTTTGTCAGTTTCCCTTTAAATTGGGCCTTAAACTACGTCAGGCATGGCCAGCTCGCAAGCTGCATGTGGCTCTTTCCCCCTGTCAGTGTGGCTCGTGAAGCCACCCCCGCACTCCCTAAATGCAGCCCATGCCTCCTGGCTCCCCTGTGCTCACCAGGGCAGGGGAGCTGTCTGGATCACAATGGCAGATCTAATATGCCTGCTGATGCCAAAAAGCCTTCCTAAAGGGCCAGTCTTTTTTTTTCTCTCTACAACTTTTTGGGGGCTCTTTTTGATTTGATTTGCTCTACAACTTTTTGTCCCGGCTCTTCGCACTGGATCCAGCTGGATCTTCGTCCGAAACAAATTGGCCACCCCTGAATTAGGTGGTACTTGGATTCAAGCTCTGCCCTGACCAGCAGCGTGTGCAAGCATTCCCACCTCATGGCTGCACGGCGACCGCTGTTACTGGGTAGCAGTGTGTTCAGGCCAGTTCTCGCTGAACAGGGGGCCCTGTTGTAAAAGCCAAGCCAGGACGTGCAGCACGGTGACCAGCGCTAATGCCCGGCTGGGCCTTGTAAAAGGAGCAAGTAGCCATGTGTGTGTGAATACCCTAATCCTGTCCTTCACAGTAGGGAGCAGGTTGCTGCTGGACAGGAGGAGCCCCTCTCTCAGTCTGGGGGGGGCACCATTACTGTACCCCTGCAGGGAGTGCCCCCTTCCCTTACGGCTCAGGCTGTGACTGTGTCTCCTGATCCTCCTCCTTTGTTTGGCAGGAATTAGCCTGAAAAAACACTTGACTAATCAAGAAAGCAGCTTCACTGTGGCTTGTTCTTGTTCCCTACAGCTGGACTTCAGGCCACCGCAAAGCATTCTGGGTTCCCCGTCCGAATGGAGAATGCTGTTCCCATTGTACCACAAGCACCAGCAGCGCAGCCACTGCAGATCCAGTCGGGAGTTCTCACGCAGGTAAGAGGGGGTGGATGGAATTCCAGGCAGTGTAAAGCATAGCCCAGCTCTGTTCTCCTTTCTCAGAAAGGCAGCCATGTCTGGCGGGGGGCCTGCATGGGGGGGTTGTCTTTGTTATTAACTGAAATCTCAGAATGCATCAGGAGCTGGGGCCCTGCATCCCAGTGATGTGCAGGTTCAGATCAAGCTGGAGCTCTGTTGGGATATTGTAAGTCTGAACCTTATTTGCTACTTTGACACTTCACAACTGTCCTGTGCCAGGCACCAGGGACTCTGAGTGGAGTCCACAAGTTCCTTAGACTGTGATATTTGCAGAGAGATATTGACATGCCCTAGCAGTCTGCAGGCAGAGGGCAACTACGAATCCTCTGTTCATATTTCTTTATGGTCACTGGCTCTCCTGAGACTTCTCACTGCCTCTGGATGGGAACATTCAGTTCTTATCTGGACAGAGGTGCCTTCCCACATAAGGCAGGCTCTCTGCTCCAAAGCCAAGCAGCAAATTCCACAGGGATTGGTTTCTATGCGTTGTTTACCATGCGGCAAATGAGATTCCAGAAAACAAAAGTGACAGTTGAATTAAAGATGGGAATGTACAACATCAATAATTCAAATTACTTTCGGATCCTTTTTTTTTTCTTTGCATAGTTGCATCCTTGACACGCATGGATGTGTTTCACTGATTATATTTCTTTTCAAATGTGTTACCAGAAGTAATAATTAACTTTGAAATTTGAGATATATCGTCTGTTTTTGCAAAAACTTTAAACTCTTGTCTTCTGCCATAAAAATACAACCATTTCTATTTCCAACAAGGCAGCGTTTTGTTTAAAGAGACAGTGGATATGCAGTGATAAGTACCTTTATTGTAGAACACTTTTATACACTTTTTATCATCTGTAAGGATAATGCTATAAGTTTCGGTTACTGCTGATTGTTACATAGGGAAATGATGTGCAAACTTGTAATTGTAATGGCCAAGAAGTCGGGGGGGAGGGGAGGGAACTATCTCACAGTGACTGATCTAGTCATACAGGGATAGCTTTAGGCAATAAGTTTCACCCCTTAGGCAGAATGTGGGGAATCATGAAGAAAGGGCTAGAGAATAAGACAGGATAGCTTAATGCCAATGTAAATCCATGGTACATCACCTCTGCACACAGAATTCCAGTGTGGGTCACCTCATCTCAAAGAAGATAGCTTGGCATTGGAAAAGGTTCAGAAAAGGAGCAACAAATGCTGAGGGGTTTGGAACGGGTCCCATATGAGGAGAGATAAATAAGACGGGGACTTTTCAGCTAAGGAAAGAGATGACTAAGGGGAGGTATGAGAGAGGTCTATAAAACCATGACTGATGTGGAGAAAGTGAATAAAGAAGAGTTATTTACTCCTCCCCAAAACACGAGAATGAGGGGTCACCAAATGAACTCAGTAGGTAGCAGATTTAAAAAGAAGTGTTTCTTCACACAACACACTGTGGAACTCCTTGCCAGAGAATGTGGTGATTTGCAAGGCTAGAACGGGGTTCAAAAAAAAGCTAGCTAGATTCATGGAGGATGGGTCCTCGATGGCTGAGAGCCAAGATGGCAGGAATGGGGTCCTAGCCTCTGTCTGTCAGAAGCTGGGAATGGGAGATGGGATGGATCACCTGGTGATTCCCTGTTCTGTTCATTCCCTCTGGGCACCTGGCACTGGCCACCATCGGGAGACAGGACCCTGGGCTGGTCTGCCCAACATGGCCATTCTTATGCTCTAACATAATTTATTTGCTCAGTTCAAATAATGGAGGTGGCATGTGCTGATGAATGCACTTGGCCTACTATCATTGCACAGGCCACAGGATTCAGTGACCAGAATAATTTTAAGGAAGCCATGGAGAAGCAGACCATTCCCGCTGCTCTTCATGAGAACGGACCAAACGCCACTTCCAGAAACACTTCCTAGCAGATGATTTTATCGTTCGGTTGGTTTCTCAGCAGTCTTGCCATGATTCATGTTAATTTCTAGTAATCTAAAGAGCCCAGCGATTTCAAGATTATTCATTTCCTTAGTTTATCCTTTCCTGAGAACACTGTACACGAAATAGCGTGTGTGACCACACAAGATGCATACATCAGTGGTGCAGCATGTACCGTTACAGGCCAATGCAGTAGATAGTAGAGAGGGCCTGGAATACACACATCTAAGATCCACCATGGGTAAGGGAGCATAAAGTTGTCCCTCAATATCCCCTCAGGGAAGTTTGCCAGTTGGTCACAAGCCCGCCCGGAGGGTCGGAAGGTACAGTGGTTTCGGTGCTTCCATTTGATTGCTGCAAGTCACTGCAGAGCGTTGTTAGTACCAATAGGCTGAAGAGCCTTTCTGGCCCTATTGCTGAACCCTGTTAACTTGCCTCCGGACGTGTGTTTCACTCACTGCCTAATCTGCGTTTCAGGGAAGCTGTACACCACTAATGGTAGCAACTCTTCATCCTCAAGTAGCCACCATCACGCCGCAGTATGCGGTGCCCTTTACTCTGAACTGCGCAGCCGGCCGGCCAGCGCTAGTAGAACAGACGGCTGCAGTACTGGTAATTGCCTCCCTTGATTGTGTTCACTAACGGAGTTTTTGTTTTAACTTCGACTTGCAGAGGGCATGGAAGCATGTGCCATCTTGTGGCTGTGTTCTTGCTACATCTTAATGTCTTGGTGTTTTCCTCCCCAACATTGCTGAAGCACTGTCTGACTCTGATGTTTAGTGTGGCTCTAAAGACTCCAGATCCATTGACTGTTGCTCTTTACTAGTCTCTATGATAAAGCTCTTCTCCTAAGCTCAGAAGAGCTGGAACCCTGTGTGTCTGCTGCTTACTGTCCTATCTTTACCTTTTACGTGTTGAAAACTAAGGAAAAGGCCTTTAGGTTTACTCTGCTACAGGTACCTGGATGGCCAGAATTTGAACCGGTTATCAAGTTAGTTGCATTTTGTTTGTTTGTTTGTTTGTTTGTTTTAAAGCTTCTTTGCATGTAGTATTGTTCCAAGTGCTTAAGCTCAGGCTAAATCCTCTAATGAATAGCAAGTGCTTTTTAGTTCATGGCTTTAGCAATCAAGAACCCTTAACTTTCATTGACTAGTGACAATAATTCTCCAACCTTTCATTATCTATAATCTGTCACTGGCAGCTTGCATCATCCAGAGAAAGATGTTGCTCCCCGCAGATGCTTTTTGCTCTTACTACATTTTGTGGTTGGAATTAAAGGTGAGCTCTAGGTTTTTAGCTGGCAATAGCTTCCTGGGCTAGTTCTGATGAAGCTAAATGTCCAACTGAATCGGGCGAGAGGTGGGGTGGCACCTGGTTTTAAAATCTGTGCTTTCAAAACGGTTGCCCTCTGAATTTGTCTGGTATCTGATCAGAACTGACCCTGCAGGCCAGTTGTTTTAAAACCCCAGAACCAGATCTGTGAAGCAAATGGAAACATTACAGAGCAATTGAAGTCCTTCTGTCCTCACCTGTATTTCAAAGCACACTCCATTTCTTACATAAACCATTTTGTCTCTTCTGGTTTTATAGCAATAAATAGTTCCCCTCGCCTGCCCTGTAAGCTGGAGATTGCTTTGGGAGTGCAGTTTGCTCAAGCCAGAGCTCTGGCTGACTGTGAAGGGTGGCTTAAGTTGGCCATTCAAGGGTCTGCTACTAGTCCCAACATGAAATGCTCCCTGGTTTGAGGCTGGAAAGGCAGGGGAGAGAGTTCTGATGGACCACAGCAGTTTGTACGGAAAGGATCTTAGCTCCAGTTCTGCTTGCTGCAGGGCTGCCATTGAAAACGGCAGGGGGCACGTGGCCGAGCACTGGCATTGTCCAGTGATTGGTGACTTTCAAAGTGCATTTGGGATTCTGAGCTAAAAGGTCAATTGGGTCCACTTTTCTAAGTGTGTGCCAGGGACTTGGCCACGTCGCTCCCCTGTACCTCAGGAGGAGACCAGAGCCATCTGTCTCCAAACCGTGAGCCCGGAGTCTAATTTGCTCCAGAGAATTTGATATTTCCATTTGGTGTCCTGGAGCCTTTGGCCCATATCGCTCACCTTTAGTGCTTCCGACACTTCTCTCTCTGCTGCTTAACTTACGTTCGCATTAGCCATTTGCTAAGCTTTGCCTATTTTTGTCCTTCCTCTGTCAAAACAGTTCGTCGCTTGGAAGGCCTGATTTCTGCCTCCCGTTGGGAAGTTAGATCTCGCTCTGTATTAAACTCTCTGCTTTGTCTTGTGCAGGTGTTGGCTTTTGGAAAGACGCATGGTGTGACTTTTAACATATTTCTCTTTTTTATGATTCGGCTTATGTCGGCAGAGGTGTTAGCAGTTCTCTGCTTCAAGGTTTCTTGTTTGGAACGGGTATTTGTGGATCTGTTACTTGCAGAAATATTTTGTTCAAAACAGCAAGCGGGTGGTTTTGCAGTTTAAACTGCAAGAAACAGAGCCATGTGTGTTCTGCATCAGAGAGCTATTGTCCTGCAGACCAGCCTGCATGCTACCAATGCAGGCTGAACAGCCAGTATTCCTCTGAGCTGACAGGGCATGGAGTTTGAGCATCTCACATGTGACAAACACAGCAAGAGATGCGTTTATTCTTTTTTAATATATTGACTGTTTTATTTCCTCCAGCAACTCCATCCAAACGGTCCAAAGTCCATACCTATAAACTAGATTTTTATGTCTGGGTCATGTGAGCGAGAAGAATGCATTTGCACAAAACCCGCCTTGGACAACATTTGCCTAGACTCCCGAACCCTGCATTTGGCTCCATCTCGTCAGTCAGTTTTAACCTTTTTGTACAACACGCCCCCGGCCCTTCAGTGCTGGTCTGTGCTTGACTTGGGGTGAGGAGGGGGAGGGAGGATATTGGCATTTCTGCTGGCTCCCCACTTCCTCTCTCCACTGCTGGAAAAGAGATGGGGGGAGCACAGAGGTTTCTGCTGCCTTTGCTTCCCTCCCCCATTTGAGCACTAGCACCCCGGGGTTTGCAAAACAGCCGCTGGCTGGGCTTGGTGGCTGCCAAATGTAAGGACTTTGAAGAGTCTTTCATTTTGTTGTGCTCAGCAGAAATGGCCCCTAGTGTTCTGGCGGCTGTAGGCCCCCCGCTCTCTGGCGCTCTTTCTGCAGCAGTCTGAACACCCTCCTCTCCCTCAGGTGCCCTTTGGGATAGGAAAGCTGGACCGAGTGGCGGAGGAAGTTTGTTTTGCTGGTTTTCTTGTTCTCTTCCTGTAGTGAGGCCCTGTGAGGAAGGGCAGGCACACACCTTTATCTCTGCAAGTTAACAGTCTGCACGCTGAGTCTCGTGTTCGGAGCCGTCTGTCTCCCTGCTCGTGCACATGGCAGCTTAGCGCCTCTGTCTGTCTTTGCTGTTTTGCAGCAGGCCTGGCCTGGAGGGACCCAGCAGATCCTGCTCCCGTCCACCTGGCAGCAGCTTCCAGGGGTTGCGCTGCACAATTCTGTTCAGCCCACAGCCGTGATCCCAGAGCCGATCGGAGGCAGCCAGCAGCTCGCCGACTGGAGGTGAGGGTCTGCCTTAGCGCCGAGGGGCTTCTGAGCCCAGCGGTGCAGCGGCAGAGTCCGTAGCAGGAAAGCATGCACAGCGTGGTGTGTCACTGTGCCAGGGCCACCGTTCCCGGTAGTACAGTGCCCGCGGACACATGCAGCCTGCGTCCGGAGTGGCACCGCGCGTGAGCCAAGCTCATGGGGAACGTGAGCCCGTGCAAACCCACAGACCAGCGCGAGAGCCCTGCTCCCTGTCCTGCCCTGCGCACTCACGGGCCTCTCCCCTCAGGAACGCACATTCCCACGGGAACCAGTACAGCGCCATCATGCAGCAGCCCTCCCTGCTGACCAACCACGTGGCTCTGGCGACTGCGCAGCCTCTGAACGTCGGCGTGGCTCACGTGGTGCGGCAGCAGCAGAGCAGCGGCCTTGCAGCCAAGAAGAGCAAACAGCCAGCGCAGAGCGCAGCAAAGTAAGGAGGCCGCCGCCGCCGCCGCCGCCTCCTCGCGCGGGCACGTCCCCCTGCCGCGCTGCAGTGTGCTGGCTGGGGGCCTCCCCATGCTACTGAGCTGGGCTCTGAGCAGTGGCGGGCCTGTGCCAAGGGGAGTCCCACCCCTTTCACCCTGTCGCTGCGCGCTGGGCCTGGGAGGCTGCCTGGCTCTCTCCTCCCCGGTTGGTGTTGGGTTGAACCGGGATGGCAGCCCTGGGGCTCTTCTGCTGGTCCCGGGGGCTGGCGAAGTCTGTAGCACGCTTGGGCCTCTGAGCAGTCATCTTGTCTTGCCCCGTTGCTCCCTGCAGGCCAAACCCGACACTGGAGGCCGCGCCTTCCCAGACCTACTCGCTGATCGGGAGCAGCCCCCTTCATGCCACCTCCTCCAGCGCCCTCCTGGTGGTGCAGGAGCAGCACCAGCCCATTGTAATCCCAGACACACCCAGCCCGCCTGTCAGCGTCATCACCATCCGCAGCGACACCGACGAAGAGGAGGACAACAAATACAAGCCTGCAAGGTAGAGTCTGGTTTGCGAGCAAATAGGCCCAGCTCGCACGCTCCCCTGTCCAGCCTCACCCCCCCAGAGGGAGCGCCAGGTTGTCAGGCTGGGCTAAGAAATCAGTGCAGTGAAATCTGCTGGGAGGCAGTGTCCCACCGCCCGCTGTGTGGTGTGACTTCTGCACTCGCTGCAATCCCCAGACAGCGAGCACCGAGACAGGACCGACGGTGCTTCCTCTGGGCACCGCCGGGTCCATGAGTGCAGTGTGTGTTCTTCCCTAGCTTGGGCATGAAGCAGAGATCCAATGTCATCAGCTACGTGACTGTGAACGACTCCCCGGACTCGGACTCCTCCCTGAATAGCCCCTACACCAGCAATCCACTCTCTGCTGTCAGGAGCGCTGGGGGAGCGGCCAACAGCTCCAGCTCCCGCACCATCATCGTCCCGCCTCTGAAAACACAGCTGACCGACTGCATCATCGCCACGCAGGCCTCAGGTATCCCCTCCCCCCTTCCCCCTCACAGACAGGCCCTGCCAGCCCGCTCCTTGGCTATGTCTGCACAGCAAGCCCTTGTGTCGAAATAACGGGCCTTTCGCTCCGACACCTGTAGCCCTCGTGGCACAAGGAGCCGGGGGAAGGGCACTCTTCTAGGACTGCCTGCTGCCTACACAGCGCCAGAAGCCGAAATAAGCTTCCCCACAGTTAGCGTCGCTCGAGTCGTGTAGCTTATCTGCGGTTAGCTGGCTGTGTAGACGTGCCCCGTGTGTCTGACAGCTTTGTCTCCTTAGTTGCAATAGCCAGCGCTAGCTGGTAGGCAGCTCCTGATCTTTGTTGGCTTGGAGCTGCTGCCCTCAGGTTCTGGAAATCTCGGTGTCCTTCGGGAGCCTCTGCATAGAAAGATTTCCATGGGGTTATTGGCAGCTGTTCCCCCCCACAGCCACTGGCGGGTCTGGGAAATGCTGGCAGGCTAACGATTCACCCCAGCGTGGCACTCGAGCCAGAGTGCCCTGTGGAAGGCTCCCTGCCCTGTGGAAGGCTCCCAAGCTGGCGGGAGAACCGACTAACCTCCTCGCGTTTTTCAGGCGTTCTGAGTAGCGCTGGCAAAACCAAACCGGTGGCATCAGTGAGTGGGCAGTCGTCGGGCTGCTGCGTAACGCCCACGGGGTACCGGGCGCCCCGCATGGTGACCAGTGGCGCACAGCCACTCAACCTTAGCCAGGTATGCAAGGCTGCAGCTCTCGCTCGGTCTCCATCTTCGCGCACTGGGCAGGGAAGAGGGCTGGATACAATCGCAGAGGGCTGCCTTGCTGATGGCAGTAAGCAGTTGGTCTGTGGCAGCTCCATACGGCACAAAACCTGCACTGGCTCCCAGCTGCTTGGCTCCCTTCCCTGCTCTGGCCATGCCGGGGAAGGAGGTACCAGGGCTCCAGGTGGACAGGCCCAGCTCTGGAGGGAGGACAACTCTGCACCCCCTGCCCCGTCTCACCAGGTGTCAGCCCAGAGATGGCCCTGCTGAGCTGTCTGCACTTTCCCTTCCGGGCACTGAGCCTGGCCCTGCTTCACCTCGTGCCCCTGGCTCGTGTGTGTGACTCAAGCCAAGCCAGGATTCTGGGCCTCCTTCCCCTGGTGGCTGCTGAGCAGCGAGCCCGATCCAGAACCAGCCCAGCCCCCCGCAGTGTGCTCAGCCCAGGCCCGGTTCCAGCTCTCCCCAGTCAGTGAGAACAGCCCTTCCTAAGTCTGCCAAGACTCCCAGTGGGTCCTGCTCCACGCACGCTTGGACACCCCCAGCGAAGGGCCCGCTGGCAGCTGGCTCCCCTCGCCGCATCATGCGAGGGCCCGTGCGCTTTACGGCTTTTCTCCTCCACAGAACCAGGCCACTCCAGTGCTGGCCTCGCAGGAGAGAAGCGGGAATCCGGCTCCACGCAGGCAGCAAGCGTACGTGGCTCCCCTCCCATCGGCCATTTCGCAGGCTTCCTATGCCTTCCAGCACGGCAGTCCAGCTCATCCCCACCTGGCAGCAGCTACCGCAAGCACGCATCTTCCCAGCCAGCCCCACATGTACACCTATGCACCCAGCACGGCTGCGACCCTGGGCTCCACGAATTCGCTCGCTCATCTCTTCTCCCCTCAGGGCTCTTCCAGGCACACCACGTACGCGGCCCACCCTAGCGCGCTCGTCCACCAGGTCCCAGTGAGCGTGGGGCCCAGCTTGCTGACTTCTGCAAACATCCCACCCGCACAGTACCAACCTCAGTTTGCCACTCAGTCTTATATTGGTGCTTCCCGAGCATCCGCTATTTATGCCGGATACCCGCTGAGCCCAACGAAGATCAGCCAGTACTCATACTTGTAGCTCGGGGCTGCCTTCCTTAGTAGGGTTTGCAGTAGTTGTGACTAGCCACCCTCAGGAGTGCTGGGTTCTGCCACAGGCCTGGAGAATCAGTGGAGGTTTTCAGGTGACCCTTTACCTGGTGTTGACTGTACTCGTGTAGTCTCCTCTAAGTCTGGATGCACCGTGTTTGACAGTGTCTCTGCTGGGGAATTCAGTGACTAACTGGGCAGCATCCTTTGGTATCAGTCCAAGGGTCATTGATTAAGATTTTAAACTTTTACTTAATTTTTATAGCTACTTTTAAAAAGGTCACAGTCCAATTTATTTAAAGCTATTCTGATGTTATAGTAATCAGAGGAGAAGAGGAAATCAAGGTCTTCACAGACAAACATTGATTTTTTTTAACTCTTATAATTTAAACAGATTTGCAGATTATTTTTAGCAGCTGCACAAATCCATATTGCCACTAAAAATATAATGCGCATTTATCTCAGTAAATTGCTAGAGCAGATTTCAAACTTTAGTTCAATATTTTGAAGTTTGTCCTATAATTAATTTTCTCACTAATTCATTGCTGTTTCTGCAAAAGCAATTACATCTCTGTTTGTCACTGTCAACGTTTTCTGTTTACTTTCCTGCTTTGTTTAAGGGTATGATAGAGGCAGCTATCTTGTACTAGCAACCTAATATTCACAAGTCTGTTTAAACCACAAAATCTTCATATTACTGTCTTGTAAAGTCTGAATTTCCATAATGCAGCTGGGTTTTTATCATTGCAGAAACTATTAAAACAAGTTTTTACCAGTGATACGCGGGACCTCACCGTATAATGCAACACGGCTGCTTTGCCAAAATGCTGTATTCTTCATTGAGAACTTATAGTGTTGTGATACTCTTTTGAGTTTGGTTCCTTTGGAGTAAGGGAGCTGGATTCCTTTCACAAAAGCACAGAGCTTTTGTTTGTTTTGTTTTCTTTATCTTTTTCCTTGCATGAGTCGTTTAGGAGGGAGCGGAACAATTTGAAATACAGTGAAAATAGCGACATGTACAGCTTTTTATACTCCGGTGAGCCTCTCCTCCTGGGTATGCTAGCAGCCAGCTTTAAAGAGCTCTTATTAAGACTTGCATACAGTAAGTGCATGTAAGAATTGAGGTGGGGGGGAGAAAAAAAATCCAGATTTTAAAGTTTATTACTGAATTTAAAACTATTTTAGAAGTTTTGTAATGGTGGTGTTTTAATATTTTACATAAAATGAAATATGTACATATTGATTAGAAAAAATATAACAAGCAAAACTTCCTGCTAACCCCAAATGTTCTGTCTTTGTAATCAAAATGTGTAGTGATTATACTTGAACTCTGTACCTAGTGTCTGTCTAAATTTTAACCGTTCCTGGGGATGAAATTGATGTGTCCTTTGTATTTAAACCAAAACGATACGTCAGAATGTATGTGAAATAATGCAATCGTTAGAGCTCATCACTGTAGCACAGAGAGAAAAAGTGGAGCCTCCGGAGAGAAAAGGTTACCTTCTGATTTGTTTTGCACAGGTATGTGTGATGAAGAGTTGTTTGATGTGTCCCCTTATTGTAGTGCCTTACATGATAATGTAGTGTGAATAGAGTTTACAGTGAGCTTGCCTTATGAGGGACCAGCAAGCCCCCATCAGATTGAAGCAATTCACTAAGCTTATCCCTGCAAGACTAGCAGGATGTTGCATAGATGCATTGTGCTCAATTTTAATGCTAACATAAAGGCTACATTTTGGTTGGGAGTGAAGCTATGTTTGCTCAAGCTTTCCTTGAAATGGCACATATACTGTTAGATGTCTGTCGGTGCATTTCAATTAGGGTAGTGCTGGGAATGCAGTGGAATATTTAGTCTGATGTTGCAGAAGTGATTAAGTATGTGCAATCACTTTATTAGAGTAGAGTGTGACGTTCCCTTCCCCTGTGTTACTAGCAGACGTTTCTTGTAAAATATTGCTAGCTTGGTGACAGAATGTTTATACCAAAGAGAGCCTGCTGTAAAGCACATAACAAAACCAACAACAAGTTTTATATGGCAACTGCTCACGTGGAACTGTTGGCAAGATTTATTAGCGATAGCACTAGCGTTCTGAGGAGTACTCCGTTTGGGTAACCTATGTGGTTTTGAGACGACACTTGGTTTCCTTGAGTCTGTCGAACTAGGAATTATTTTGTAACCTTTAGTACGGAGATAAGTATCTTGGCCAAACGGATTACGAACTGGCTTGAGCAGTGGTAATATTGCAGCAATAAGAGGTTTGTGCAGCCTTGAACCCCAGTTCCGTCCAAATTGAAAACAGGCTAGTTGTACAAATCGTCAACATGAGGGTGTCCAGAAGGGCAGAAATTCAGTTCTGCGGTTCCACGTTACTGGGTTAGGAAGGTCTCGGCTGGCCTGAAATTGATCGGCTCTGAGAGGTTTGGTGTCTCTTTTGTAGTGAGGACTTTGGAACTGGGTGCGAGTGATTAGCAACATCACTAACCAGAAGTCATCGTCTAGTGTACTTTCCTCCGCACCACGCCTCAAAATGTGGGGATAACTGTGCAGTCCCAACACTTCCCATCACTGGCGGTGCCAATGCTCTGTGTTACTGGAACGTTATCCAAATGTTTCACACTTCGTGCCAAGCACTTCTTTCTTTTGTCCGCGTTGTGGCTTGTGTTCAGTACTTCCCTCGAGATAGATACCTCTTGGATTCAGAGTTGTGCCTTTCCTTCCCAAGGCAAACAAATGCCAACATCTGCATTGCATGAAAACCTTTCACCCAGTTTCCCAAAGTGTTTCCTGAGAAGTTCTGAAGAAAAGAGCAGGAGCAAAGACCTGTAACAAAAAGTGAACAAACGAGCTGGGGAAACGCCTTTGTTTATTAAAAAGAAACTAACCAGATCTTGTCTTTAGGGCACCTCACACACCGTTTAAAAAGAAAACCACCAAAAGTATCCAACTAAGCCCATTCTCATCTCCGCCACTGATTCACACATCGCTCAGCATTGGGGAAAGGAGCTGTCCCACGCTAACAGCTAGAGTACAACTGACTTAGGCTGTGTCTTCATTCCAGGGAAGATTGATGCTGCTGCGATCCATCTTCCAGAGTTTGATTTAGTGAGTCTAGTAAAGACCTGCTATATTGAACTCAGAGAGCACCCCCAGCATCTGCTGATATTCCTCCTACAAGGAGTAAGGGAAGCCAACAAGAGCATTTCCTGCCATTGGCCTCCTGCTGTGAGGATGGTGGGGAAACTTGAATCAAGGTACGCCGACTCCAGCTACATAATTGACATAGCTGGAGTTGTGTACCTTAATTCGACCTTTCCCTTTAGTGTAGACCTGGCCTTAAGGAGTGATACACACCATTTAAGAACCCCACTGGGCCAAATTCTGATCTCCTCACTGGATTTATAGTGATGTAACATCAAAATGTGGCCTGCAGTGCAAGTTGCTTCATCAAGCGTAGGCTAAAGATTCGATTTTGGGGAGGTGCAGCCTTTCTCCCAGGGCCTTCCAGCTTGTGTCCATGCAGCTCCAGTGAAGCTTTAACGACTGATGCAGCTGGTTTGCATAGTGTGTAACCAGACACGCTATCTGAGAGGAGACATTTGTCCTTTCTTAAACTGTGCGCAATTAGCTGGAGCTTGGGTGTCACCTTCAGACGGATAGATAACTCCTCCCATAGAGAGTCCTGAGTCATAACTTGTGTTTACTTACTTGTTCCTGTTCACTGACTTGCATTTGCAGCTGATAGCCGACTGCAGAAGCAACTTCTGAGCTTTTCTGCTTAGCACCTAGTTGACTGATGCAGTAATTTACCTCTGATTCAGCAATTTTTGTAATACATGAAACTCAATTGCTTTTAAATGACAGGATTGGCACAGCCCTGCTTTCTCTTTTATTTAAACTTATGAATGGTGCCGCATGTCTACATGGTTGTTTGTTGCTAAACTTTATTATAATGTGTGATTTCAGATTCAGCTTGAAATTTATCTATCTCACTACATGTAGCAGTACATTCTATGTAATGTTAGTATTTCTGCTTGAATCCTTGATATTGCAATGGAATTCCTACTTTATTAAATGTATTTGATATGCTAGTTACTGTGTGAAAATTAACTTTCTTTTATTGTTGTGCTCTTCCTTTTTACAAGCCGCTAGATCCAGGTAGTTTCTGACATTTACTGATCTATGTTTGTATTGCCAATGTACTTAGGGGGTATGTAAAAATCATTTTAACAAAAGAAATATAGATATTTAAAAATTTAATACTAACTATATGGGGAAAGGGTCCATTGTGAAAACACAGTTTATCTTTGGATTCAGTGTTTGTCTTTGGTTTTACAAAGTAGCTTGTATTTTAAGTATTTTCTACATAATATGTTAAAAATGTAGAACAATTGCAATGCATCAATAAAAGGGTTAATTTTCTGTTCTCTATTCACGTGGCCAGTTCTGAGACCATCTAGGATCAGTGTAGGGCTCTGCCCCTTCTCAGCCAGCTGTAGCTTCCAGCTGTAGCTTCCAGCTGCACCCTGTAACTAGCCACCGAGCAAGGCTTGGTTGAGATCCACAGGCCCAAGGGTGAGCAGCAAAGCACCCTCCATAACACGGCAGGGGCCTCTCCAAAGCTGCTCGCAACGGGAGGCATTGCAAGCCGAGCTCTTGCCCACTCAGAGCAAACGGTTCAGGTCCAAACCTGGAGTGTTGCACAACTGTGGGGAGGGGCTTTGGTATCCCTGGTGAGAATTTCCACAGCTGCACACGGTGCCCGGAGCCAGCTGGGTGGCTGGCTGGCTGCAGCCCAGTCATGCTGGGTATGGAAATGCTGTAGGCTCCCTTGCCATGCAGGCACCTTGGGCCTGATTGCCAGAGTTCCTGAGTGTCTGCACTGCCCGCTGCAGGCACTTGGCACCTCTGCAGCATCTGGAGCTCCAAGTGCGAGGGAACAGCCACACAGGATGGGAGAAGCCGGCGTTTCCCAGTGCTTGCGAGATTCGGGTTGCTGTTCCCATGGAACGTGCCAGCGATTAACCTAATATCCTGCAACATCACGCACGGCAATAGTGCTGCTTTGGCAAGCCAGGCCATAGCACGTGGGCCCACAAAGTCAGTGGGAAAGCCCTTCCTTTAACCCAAAAGAGGCCTTGTGTAACAAAGCCCTGGGACTAAACCCCGGGCCTCTTGACGCAGACAGCTGGGTGCCCCCTGGACAGCTGCCTGCATGATGCAGCAAAGAGGAGAGACTGGAGTAACGCAGCAGAGCCCATGGCGAGCGTATTGGGCTTCTCGGGTGAGTATTTGTGGGTACACCCTGCTATTGCAGAACAGTGTTTTCATGGCCTTCCACAAAACAGTGGCGATTATGCAACTGAAACATCCCTCCTTCCCCACCACCAGCCTCTCCATAGCTCTGCATCCTGGCTTTGCCCAGAGGAGCAAAGGGCCGTCCCTAACTTGCAGCCTGGCGGGGTGACGGCTGCCTGGTTTACAAAATGCCTCAGCTGCTCAGTCCATGATTCACACGGAGTGACGGTCTCCGATTGGGTTTGCCCCAAAGAATATTGCCGGTTAGGACCATAGAAATGTCAGGCCAGAAGGGCTCTTAGTCATCTCATTGTCCAGCCTGTGCTGGGGCAGGACCATGCGACCACAGACCCTCCCTGCCAGGTGCTTGTCCAGCCTGGTCGCACCCCCCTCTGCCCCGATGATGGGGAGTCTACGGCCCCCACGAGAACCTATGCCTATGCTGACCCACTGGTGCAGCTAGAAGTGCCTTCTAATCTCTTACCTACAACTCCCTTGCTGCAGATTAAGCCCATTTTATTTGTCCCGCCTTCAGTGACATGGAGAACAATTGGTCACTGCCCTCTCAAACGGCCTTACTATATTTGAAGCCTTACCGGGTTCCCCCTCGCTCTTCTGGAGACTGAATGTGCCCAGGGTTTTGCCTTTCCTCGGGGATCAAGTTCTTAAGCTTTCTCCTTTTGTTGCTCTCCTCTGGACTCTGGTTTGTCCCCATCTCTCTCTGAGCATGGCAACCAGGCCTCCAGCTGAGGCCCCACAAGGCTGAGGAGAGCAGGGCTCCTAAGTCCTGGGACTTGCCTGGGAAGAGGCCCCGCAATGACACTAGCCACCTCTGCGACTGCATCGCCTTGTTGCCTCTCCTTTAGCGTGTGACCGGCTCTGCGCCCCAGAGCCGCCTGGCCAGGGATTGCCCCGAAGGCGTGAGGCACGTGGCTTTTCCTCCCTCCGCCACAGGCTCTGCACTTCTCTCTAGTGGAGCCAGGCCAGCTCTCTGATTGGTCAGGCTCGTTCTGAATTCTCCCCTTCTCCTCCAGATGCTTGTCACTCCTGGACGTGGGGTCAGCTGGCTCCCGTTCGCCATTGCCATCATAAGGGAGATATGGACCCAGGACTGGCCTCAGCTGCCCCTCTAGCCACGCTGGCCCTAGACAGCTACTCTGGTCTTCCCGCCAGTTGTGCACCCGCCTCTCAGCACTGCCCTTACGCTGCACGGCCCCAGCTTGCCTAGCAGGATGCATCTCCTCTGGCTTTCCCACCATGCACTAGGCCAGGAGCTCTCAAAGCAGGAAACTGGGTTGGGGGGCCTTATTGGTCCTTGACAAATCCCTGCTGGCTAGTCCTTGTAGCCCCATTGCCCCCAGGCGCTCACAACCGGTTGTGTCCTCATTTGTTCCAGGAGCTCTCCAGGAATCGGCGTTGGGCTGCCTGGTCTCCTCGGTTCTGTGCGAACACAGCGCTGTGTGGGCCCCACTCCCGGCCGCTGGACCCAGCCTGTCCTCCAGGAGTGCGTGAGGGCACTTCCTAGGTAGTCAGAGGCTCTGTGGGGCTCAGGGGCCTGGCCCTGGGTGCTGCAAGGTGCAGCTGCCTGTTGGCCAGCGTGTGAGGGAGCCCGATTTGTGCGGTGGGTGAGGCACTCGCTCGTGACGCTAGATGGTGCAATAGCCCTTTGGAGAAAGAGCAAGCCAAGCGGCAGCGCTGCAGAGAGTGGGGCTGCAGGGCTGAGAGCCTGCCCAGGGCTGATTCCCACAGACTCCTGGCCCCCTTCACAGGCCATTAGGCACAGAGAGTGGGCAACCCCAGACAGCTTCAAGGCTCCACCTGCCGGGTACCCCAGCCTGGGGGCTCTCCCCATTTGCCTTTTCCCCGGGCTGTGCTGGTGCCGGCGCGGCCCGTGGGGGCTGTTCCGCTGCGCCGGCACCAGGCTCAGGCAGGTCCTGCAGAGACGGGGGAACTGACCCCGTGCTGCCCAGGAGTGTTGGGCACACGCCAGCTTTCCCACAAGCCCTGTCGCAGCAGGCCCAGCTTTCCGTTCCTCCCACTGCTGCTGCCACCTGGTTCTGTTTAACTCCCTGGGAGGTGCGGGAAGGGGCGGGAATTCCAGGGCTGGAGTTAACCTCTGAAAGGAAACACCCCACCCTGCAGAGACTCCGCAGCCTCTAGTCACTGCACGTCACAGCTTCATACCGAGACCTGCCTGCCCTGCGCTCTAGTCCAGTCGCGCCTCCACCTAGGCCCAGCCCGACTAAGTTCTGGGGCCGGGGCTGCCTCACAGAACATGCACCTGCAGCACCCAGCCCCAAATCACCGTCCCCAGCCTTCCCGGAGCTGCATTCGGACAGGGACTCCTCGCTGAGGGGCGTGCGGAGTGGCACATCGCACGGCCCTAGCACGGCTCAGTGGTAAGGAGCACGCTCTGTCCTCGGGCTCACAGCTGTTGTGCCAGGCTAGGCCCGTGCCGTGCCAAGGGAGCCCTGTCCTGGCGTAGCAAGGGGACGGCTGAACTCTGCAGCTAACCTGCGTGTGGGGTACACTGGGCAATGACTCAGCTTCTCCATCTCCCTCTGGAGCCGACGCTCCCACCCCGGGCAGCTGCGCCGTGCCCGCGTGTGCAAGGACCCGGAGGCCGGCGGGGCCCCCCGCCACCCCCCTCTGGAGCCGACGCTCCCACCCCGGGCAGCTGCGCCGTGCCTGCGTGTGCAAGGACCCGGAGGCCGGCGGTGCCTCATTTGCGGGGTCTGTTGCCGGCCCCAGAGCACGAAGGGGTTAAGGCGCATGCTTCCTTTGGCACCAACAGACCTGCCTGGCGAGCCGTCTGGATTTCATAAAGGCAGCGACTGAGGCAGCGTCCCGCCCCCAGGAACTGTCCAAACATTCCAAAGCCGTGAGCACAGCATGTGCAAGGACCCGGAGGCCGGCGGTGCCTCATTTGCGGGGTCTGTTGCCGGCCCCAGAGCACGAAGGGGTTAAGGCGCATGCTTCCTTTGGCACCAACAGACCTGCCTGGCGAGCCGTCTGGATTTCATAAAGGCAGCGACTGAGGCAGCGTCCCGCCCCCAGGAACTGTCCAAACATTCCAAAGCCGTGAGCACAGCACCGAGCGCGCCTGCTTGCGCCCACCCTGCGAGGCAGAGCAGTGCTGCCGTCCCAGGCCAGCCATGGCCCCACGGCTCAGCTTCCTCCTCGCCCTGCTCCTGGCCGGGGCCAGCATGGCCCAGCAGCAGTTGATGGAATACATGGAGAGGAGACTTGCCGTTTTGGAGGTAGGCCCATGTCTCCCCTCTCCCTGCCCTGCTATGGGGGGCCAGGCCTGGTGCCGGCTTCTCCCGAACCCGCCGTGCTCAGCAGAGTTCCCCCTGCTCCGTGGACGGTTTTACCAGCACCTAGAGCAATGCTAATCCGCCCCGCCGGGGCGCAGTGCAGGGAACGCAGAGGAGCCTGCCGCACACGTGCTGAGCGTGCGGGGTAGGAGCAGGCGCTGGGCATGTGGGCGGCCGCTCAGGGGAGCAGGAGAGCTGAGGCCGGAGGGTGACTCCAAACTGCGGCGCAGCGGGGGGGGGGGGGGGGAGGTTGTTTGAGGGGGCCACGCGAGCTGGTCACGGGTCAGTCACAGGCCTGAGGGCCGGGGGAGCGAGAAGGCTGCCCCCTGCACGCTCCGCGCCAGCCCCCTCCAGCCAGCGGGGTCCCAGCACCTCGCACTCTCGCCCCCAGGAGCGGATCTCCCAGTGGCACGACCAGAGCAGCCGCTACTCCACCGAGCTGCGGGAGTTCAAGAACCAGGTGCTCACGTTGCTGGAGAACTCGGAGAAGGAGCGGGAGAGGCTGCGCGCGGAGGGGGAGAACGCGGCCGTGCGGGTGGACCGGCTGGAGCGGGAGGTGGACTACCTCGAGACGCAGAACCCGGCTCCGCCCTGCGTGGAGGTGGACGAGAAGCTGATGGAGAACCAGGGCTCAGCAGCCAAGAGGAGGAAGAATGAGAAGTATGACAAGCTGACAGGTGAGCCCGAGCGTCTCCCCCAGCCAGCGCCGGAGTCTAGACCTGCCCACGGGGCCTATTGGTCCAGCGAGAACGGCCCTGGCCCACCTCCAGGCAAAGATCTCCCGGGCCGAGTCTGTGGGCGGCGGGGCTGGGTCCCGCTGACTGCACAGTGGGGTCACAAGGCAGCCAGCCTGTGGGCAGGGGCTGTCTCCTAGGCCCCACTATGGCCCCCTGGGCTCAGCTGTTACTGCCTGCCAGGCTAACCTAAGCTGCTCCTAGTGCTCGCCTCGGACCCCAGCCACGTGCCGGGAGGGCTGCCCAGCCCCACAGCCGCTGCCTCTGCCTCCTCAGACACTCGGGCGCCCTGATCAGGAGCCCAGTGCTGCTGCACGCAGAGACGGGGGGCCATGGGGAATTACAGCCCACCTGGCCCACGAGCACCCTGGGCGTCAGAGCCCAGCAGGGGAGCCAGCCCCAGGGGAGCAGCTGCCCCCACATGCCCCTCCCAGCAGCTCAGGGGCGGGAGTTTGGCTCAGGCTCCGTCGAAGCAAAGCGGCTCAGGTCCCAGTGTTTGAAGCTGGCCTGTTGGGGCGCTTGGCGCGAGTCTCCGGGAGACGGCAGGCCCGGTGCTGAGTCCTGGGCCGAGCGCCTCAGCTGACTTGGCCGGGCTGGGGGCCTGCTTCGTGTCTCCAGCCAGGCTCCCAAATGGGAGGCAAGAAAAAGGGGCAGGATTGCCTGTGGAGTCAGGGCGAGGTCACCGCTCTCCCTGGGCTCGTGGGGAGCTGCCCCAGGCAGCCAGCGGGCGGGACACGTGCGTTGAACATGACGCCCTAGCAGCCATGGTCCCAGCTTGGTCGTCAGCCTGGCCTTGGGGGCGGGACGGAGGAGCACTTGAGAGCTGGGTTAAAACCTCCGCGCTCGGAACCCAGCTTCCGGGGCAAATCCAGGTCTGGGAAAGGCAGGAAAACCTTCGGCTTGAGCAGCACCTTTCTCCTGCGGAGCTGGGATCCCGAAAGCCGAGGGCCCCGAGCGGAGGGCTGTGGGGAGGCCACTGCCCACCCGCTGGGAATCTTCTGTGGGCTGGGCAGAGACACTAAACCCGGAGGCAGCAGGGGAGGGCAAGTAACTCGCTGCCAGGGGCTGACCTCACTGCCTCCGTGGGGGGCACTGGGAGGAATCCCGTTTTCTTCTCCAAGACTCAGCCATAAATACTCTGCTAGACCCCCCCCTTCTCCCAGATGCTTATTCCCCCACCCTGGGTGCGTGGGGAGGGTGCGAAGACACCTGGGGCCTGCAGGGGTGGGCTCTCACGGGCTCTCCTGCGCCCTCACAGATTGCAGCGACACCATCTCCCAGGTGAAAGCCATGAAGATCCTGAAGAAGTTTGGCAGCAGCGCTGGGCTGTGGACCAAGGACCCGGTGGGGAGCTCGGAGAAGATCTACGTCTTCGACGGCACCAGCAATGACACCGTCTACGTGTTCCCCAGGATGAGGGAGTTCACGCTGTTCTCTGCCACGCGGAAGGCTGCCCGCATCAAGCTGCCCTACCCCTGGGTGGGCACCGGCCACCTGGTGTATGGGGGGCACCTCTACTACATCCGGCAGCAGGGCACCTTCCAGGTCATCAAGTTCAGCTTGGCCAACAAGACCGTCGTGGACAGCTCCGTGTTCCCCGCCGAGGAGCAGATCCCCGTCTTCGGCCTCTCTGCCTTCAACTACATCGACATGGCCGCCGACGAGGAAGGGCTCTGGGCCATCTACGCCACCCGGGAGAACGAGAAGAACATCTGCCTGGCCAAGCTGGACCCGGCCTCCCTGGACATAGAGCAGATGTGGGACACGCCATGCCCCCGGGAGAACGCTGAGAGTGCCTTCGTCCTCTGCGGCGCCCTCTACGTGGTGTACAACACCCGGCTGCCCAGCCGCTCCCGCGTGCAGTGCGTCTTTGACGTCAGCGGCGCCATGACGCCCGAGGACGCGGCCTTGGTCTACTTCCCCAAGCGCTACGGCTCGCACTCCAGCATGAAGTACAACCCCAAGGAGCGGCAGATCTACGCCTGGGACGACGGCTACCAGATCATCTACAGGATGGAGATGAAAAAGAAAGCGGAGATCTGCCCAGCCGCTCCCGCGTGCAGTGCGTCTTTGACGTCAGCGGCGCCATGACGCCCGAGGACGCGGCCTTGGTCTACTTCCCCAAGCGCTACGGCTCGCACTCCAGCATGAAGTACAACCCCAAGGAGCGGCAGATCTACGCCTGGGACGACGGCTACCAGATCATCTACAGGATGGAGATGAAAAAGAAAGCGGAGATCTGAGCGCCACACATGCCCAGCCTGCCCCAGGGTGGCAGAGCCAGCTCAGGGCTCATGCCAGGGCCGCCCACCTTTCCATGCCTGTGAAATGGGCTGCAGCCGCAACCCGGCCAGCCCCGCCTCGTGACCTGTGCG